TAAATTGGTAAATTGATTTTTGGTTCAGGAATGGGGAAAATAGTATTTGCTACATAAATAGTTGGGATTATTCGGAATTGACATGTCTAATATAAATCAGACACCAGATTCTAGAATATCGACTATTGGAAAATGTTCATTGTAGAAGCACCCACGCACACAATGGATTTTCTTGAGCTGCTTTCGATAATGTCTAAGACATTCTAATTTCTGATGCTTGTAACTCAAGATGAGGTTTTCAGACCTAAAACTTTTCAAAGTTCAATTAATAATAGCGTATTCCTGTAATTTCATAAAACTTCCTAATTGTTAACCAATAGATTGTAATTTCAAGTATATTATATTCATATCTTCTTAGATTGTTTCTATCTAATCGACATCAATTTATTACATAAGCATATAAAAAATAACCCTCCATGAACAATTGTAAAATCCAGGGTCTAAAAATCTTTTCTCAGCAAAGCCCTTAAAAATAATTAAGCTCCTATTGCTGAAATAGTTTCTTCTATTCGTTGATTTACTCATTCACCAAATAGTAAATTTAAACAGCTTGTCGTATACGAGGAGCCTTCTCCTAATGGTGTATGAAATTAAACGACCTAACTCATGAAATCTTGTGACAATGTTTTTCCTATTTGGATACTAAAAGTCTTCTAAGAATCATTAAGATTGAAAATGTTTCTGATCAAATATTGGATAGTGCTCTAGAGCATTTGAATCAATTATGCTTTGCGGATCACGCTTGGGACTCTGAAGATGGGGTACATTACAAGTATGATTTGGATGAGTTTCGAGAAATTCACAATGCCTTATATCAGAGATCAAAAATGATTCCTTTATGGTTGAAAAACTATTGTTTGTCTGCATTTACTATGTAGCAAGCAATAGAGAAAATCAAATCGTGTTATAAGGGACAAAAGAAGTTAGGGTTAAGTTTTAGTTCTCGCTATCTAGACTACCAGTGTTTTTCAATATTACATTTAATTCTATTTTGTTTTGGGTTTCACACCTCATACTTGGATTGTAGCTAAACGAATAGATAGGTGTCCAGATAATATATAATGGTTGATGACTAGTAATATATCATGAGCTAAGGAGATAGATTAATTTCATTTATAAAGGATGACGGGGAGTTGATGCGAGAATAGGAACATAGTATATCTTATTAATAAAGAGGATGATGTGTTGAACTGCAATATTACACCTTTAAAGTATTAAGTTTCAGTATATGTACCGTCATATATGAGTTTACAATATAGAATAAGAAAACTAGAATGGATCATTTGACCGAAGTTGGCCTTCAGTATCGACTCTTGTCTGGCAAACTAATCTGTCTTAAAAAATATAACCTTAAAGTTTAATAATGATGCGACAACAAACCCACATATTAGATATCAATATCGGCTTTATACCCTATTGGTGTAGCATCCAATAGGTTTTGTCCCCATCGTATTATGTGTGTCGTCTTATATAATATTCAGCTACTAAAACCCGCGCTTTATCTTGCTTTCAATTAAATACCGGGCATATCAAAAAGTTGTTTTTGGAAACTTAGTTCATATTTCTGTACTAAATAGTAACTAATGGTTAAAATCGACTACACGAACGAAATAGATTCGGCACTTACGGAAGTAAGAGATTTAAATCCTAATCATAGTTCCTCAAACTATATTTGTAAGTCTATTTCACAACTTAACATTTTATTAGTAAAGTAAATACTCTTTGATATTAATATCGCAATTGGCTAAATCAACTAACAGCTGTGAAACCTTGTTTCAATCTTTAAGTAGCTGCAGGTTGGACATTAGCAGGTCTATCACCACCAATCCAGCCATAAACTTGAACACGATCTCTAATTTTCCCAACTAACAACTCATAAACAGGAATACCTAATCTTTAACCTTGGTATTCCACAAGGCAATCTAGCCTTGAAAGAGCAGAGATCAAAACCGGACCACCACGGTAAAATCTTTGTAGGTAAGCTTTTTGCCATATCTCTTCAATGTCATGACCGAGGTAACATGTATTCTCAAAAGCATTTATTCTTTAGGATTGATTCGAACGAATTTTGGGACTTTTCAATCGATAAATTTGCACTTTTCGATATTCCAATTACCATTGATTACAATCAGTAGTTACCAAATCCTTTAAATTTCTGACATATTATACCACTCTCAAAGATACCTGGGCATAATGTTGTTTATTTCTTGGTTGAACTTCTATATTAATGAGCTCTTTATCCTTATGTGCTAAGATAATGGAGTACAAAATAAATCACATATTAAAATTAATACAAATAGCTAATGCAAGTATAATATGATTCCAGCAATCCCTGATTCAAATTATAACGAGATTTAAACAATAGTTTAGAGTAGTTACTTGATTCATTGAAAACATAATAGCATATTGTAATAATTATATACAGGATGATCAACATACAACATTGAGAATCATCGTTCTACTTCTATATTTTTTTAATTGCTATTTTTGAACTTCTCCTAAACAACTTGATATTATTGTCTTATCTACGTATACAAAATTTCAATATTCTAGATATCTTATGCTGTGCCTATTTATTCAAAATGATGAAGCCGCTAAAATAAATAACTAATCAATGAATCCGACTGCATGTTTCTAAAATTATTTTCTTGCTGTAAATAAATGTCCACTTAAGAATTCAAGAGATACTTGACGTAAAGCAAAATTTAAATTATCGTGTATCTATCGTTGACAATTAACTAGTCAAATCAATTAAAGATATCTTCTAATGAAACTATGGGACAATCCGGTGATACGACTAATAAAAGACAAAATTCTTTTATGAGTGGAGCGGCAGACAAAGGTAAATTATTACCGCCGAATTGCACTAGGTACGAATCCAGTAGCCAGGATGATTCTTCAGGTCATGAAGAAGGCATTCGATACCCTGCAGTGAACGAAGAACGTTCTTTATTGGCACAATCGAAAATAAGCTACGAAAATAGTGGAAATTCTGTCGCTGAAGGGAGTTTTGAACGAGAAAAAAATCTTTTAAAAAATACAATTAGAATTCCCAATAGACACGAAAATGATGATACTGGGTTAGAAAACCGAATAGTTTTAAAAAAAACAGATACGACAGTACTAGTCGAATTGAAATCATTACTTTTTTCGTCGGCTCCATTGGCTATAACTTTTCTATTACAATGTTCACTTTCTTCTATATCTGTATTCGCAGCTGGAAATTTAGGGACTGTAGAATTAGCTGCTGTATCAATAGGTTCCTTGACGACAAATATGACATGTTACGCTATTGTTCAAAGTATTATTGCGGCTCTAGATACCTTATGCCCTCAAGCTTTTGGTGCGAAAAAGTATCATCTTGTTGGAACTTATGTTCAAAAATGTGTTGCCATGAACTTTGCTATTATGTTACCCATATTATTTATTTGGTTATTCTTCGGATATGAAATAATCATGGTTTTTCTACCTGACAATAGAAGCGCTGAGTATGCAGCATTGTATTTACGATATATTGTACTAGGGATTCCTGCTTACATTTTGTTTGAATGTGGTAGGAAAGCTCAAGGAATTTATCATGTTTCAACAGCTGTTTTATCATTTGCTGCCCCATCGAATCTAGTAATGAATTTACTTCTTGTAAAGATTTTTGGGTTTATTGGAATACCGATTGCGATATCAGTTAATTATTAGTTGATGACTTTTGGATTGATTGCTTGTATGGTATATTTTATCAAACCATACAGTACTCCTTCTGGTATGCATCCTCTAATATGTTGGAATGGCCTTCATGTAAATCAGGCATTCAACGATTGGAGTAAGGTTATCTCTTTGGCAGGACCAGGACTTGTAATGTTGGAAGCAAAGTTTTTTGCCCTTGAGGTCTTGACTTTAACAGCGTCCCATTTGGGAACTATCCCTTTAGCGGCTCAAACTATTGGAACAGAAATTGCGTCTTTAATGTATCAGATCCTGATTGCAATAGGACTTGCTTCATCTAATCGTGTTGCTGATTTCTTGGGTGCCGGCTTAAACTCAGCAGCAAAGAAAACTACTCAAGTCGCATTATACTTAGATATGATTTTTTGCATTATAATTTCTGCTTCTTTTATTGCTTTAAAGGTTTGATAGTACCGTTATTTACGAAGGATGAGGAAGTTATTAAAACAGTGGAAAATATCATGTGGTTAATAGCTTTAGTACTGGCTTTTGATTCAATGAAAGCAGGATCGGCTGGCTGTTTAAGAGGTCAAGGTCAAATAAGAGTAGGGGGTATTATCACGTTGCTATCTATTATATAGTTGGTTTACCTTTGACGATTTTTTTAACTCTTTATTCCACAATGAAGGGTAAGATAGATGGTCTTTGGATTGGAAATTGTGCTGCTCTTATTATAATTGGGAAAGTTCAAAGTTACTATTCCCTATTTGCTGATTTTGTAAGATTATGTAAAGACGCACGGGAGAGAACAATTAGTTAGACCGTGAAATATCAATTTTAGAGTAATTAGTCAATAATAATAGTTAGAGATATTATCAAACATTCAGCATGATGGACCTGAAATAACTTGTATTTCAAACAAGTGAAGAGAAAGCCCCTTTTATCACTGTTGGAGTTAATTTGAATATTCATGATGCACGTTAGTTTTGGTTACTCGTGGTACTCGGTATCATTCACTGAGATTCTCAAGTTGACATTTGGTAATTCTGCCGTTATGAACCGATCGATATACTACTTCGACGGGGTTTTGAATTAACAATACACCATAAGAACAGTGCAGATGCATGCAGTATGCAACCATACCAAATTGCTATCGGTGCGTGTTTCTAGAATATTGATGTTGTTTGTTCTTTGGATACCTTATTGTATAAAATTTTGGATTTGAAAAGCTAATTAGCGACTTTATACCCATAGCAGATGAGCTACAGGAACACGTCAACTTAAACTATTTGTCAATATAAGACGAGCTCAAGACCTCTGTATTTATATTAGAGTCTGTTGCCTGTCATTGCACCAAGAGTACACATTCTTGCCTGTCCATGATACACTCGTCGGTACTTATAACTGCATTAGTGTTTTCACGCGAAAATTTTCGGCCGAGATAAGAATTACGGACCACTTCATCTTATTAAAGCATTGGCGGGGGAAATCTTTACGGCCCATAGTCCGGGGTAACAACTAGCTAGTTTCATTTCCTCAGCACAACGAAGATATCGACTTTCATGTTCTTCTTGTTTCGCGGGAACGGCACGAGATATTGGGACCACAAATGATAATGACGACCAAGCTAAGAATGAGCACGAAGAAATAGACTACCGAGACAAATTGGGGTTTTTTTCCAGGGAATCAATTATGGGAGATATGTTGACGTCTCAAAGAATAGATGTGATTTATGGTTTGTAAGTGGCATAATAGCTATATAGGAGGTAGCTGGACCAAATGAATTGGATNCCCGCCGTATGGATCTGAGTGATAAGAAACAAGTGCCTAAAAATGGAATATTGCTAGATACTAGCAGAAAGAATGGTTTTTAAAGAAATGGATATAATGACCGATAGATGGTTGCCTTGGTTAATACCCACTATTTAGGCCGCTGCCATATGTGGGGGGTCTGGTATGATGGCCCGTTGAGTGCTATGTTTAACAAGCCCATGATTTCTATGTTCAATTGATGGAAGATTGACATTTGAGGGATTGGAACGGCTGCAGGAAAGGTAAGACGAAGAGTCAAACGAGTTCATGATGTTGCCCACAGACATGACTTTGAAGAAATATTGTAGTTTAGTCAAATATATAAGTACGCTACTGAGAGGGACCCATTCTTTTGATTTCTCAGATGCATTCCCGAAGTTGCTTGAGAAGTGGATAACATTTCCCTCAATTCCATGTATTGGAAATTCGAGACTTCAAACGAGCAAAATGAAAATTGACTTCCCAACTTCTCATATTATATAACTGGATGATAATCATTCAACCCTTTACTAAAGAGCAAAATATTTTGGAAATTTCGTGTTATAATGTTCTATGGAGCATCATATATGAGACATATCGGAATTGTTGATCATTTTTTAGTTGTCCTAGATAGGTCTGATTTTCCAAAAAAAGAAAAAGGAAAGATAAGATTTCAAGTCAATTGAATTTAGTGTTTTGCGGGCAGTGTTTGGAGGATATGAGTATCTATATAATCCTATTTACTTGTTCCCAGTATGAAATGTCAGATTAATGTTAATGGGTTTACTCCCTGTGTCATATTGGGATACTGAAACTATCTTTCACAAAAAGGTATATCGTATAATGTGCTTATTAGATATGAACATGCTATTACCCCTTATTTTCCTCATCTAAAATACGCGTTCTCGAATACCCTTAAGATTCTTAAATAATTATAATGCGAATTGAACATTAAAAGGTTCATAAATAATAATAGTTTGCTTACTCAGGATTGTTCAAATCAACTTTTATTTTCATAATACATACATCATAATATAAGCTGTAGCCATAGTCAATAATTCAATAACTGTTAGTGTTTAAAAGCTATAACTTCCGTGACAAGTCCCAATGAAAAGTCCACAAAACAAACCTGACCTCATTAGATCTATTCAGCACTTGTAGGAGTTATGTCTACGGTAGAGTGCTTATCTTTGTAAGTTAGTACCTTAAGATTTGAATCTATGTTTTATAATAGTTTAGGCCATAGACTTAATCAAAAACTTTTCCGACTATTCCAAATTTTGCAAATTATAAAAGATATCGTCAAAATTAAAATCAAAAATTTCATTGGGGTTTTGTAAATAGTCCAAAAAATCATCACTAATACCGCAACTTTCATCCGAGAAAGAATAATTCCGTATTGGTCTCGGATAGTTCTCTGCATTTATCCAATGTTTAGGAATAATAGTTTCACTGAAATCGTACCTAAATCCTTCTTTATAATGACTTAAATCTTCTCCACATACCCCCATGTTCTGTTTGGATCTATAATATTTTACAAGTGCGCTCCTTAATACGTCAATTTCAACCCTCTGATCATCTTCACTTGAATAACTCTTATTAAAAATATTGATGTTGGAACTTAAAACATTTGGCATCATGTTCTTAACTTGCTCTATACCACCCTCACAAAGTGAAGTATACAATTCTGCCTGTGAAAAATCAATCTGAAAATAATCACTGTTCACGCAAATCCAGTACCAAAAATCAGATTACATAGACACTTATGAGCTTTGACTATCTGTAATGAATAGCAATACCAAGATGATAATAATGACCCCAAAGATATACACAAAGATAAACAATTCTGCAAACTATTGAAAAACCTCAAACTACTAATATTTCTATCATAGTCATCTCCAACTTTAGTAATATTTTTTTCCCATCCTGAATATTTTATTCGAATAATAAATGACAACAATATGATATTTATCTTTTGAATTGAACTCTCAATACTTGGAATAACAAGAAAGCTTATTAAACTATCAGAGAAGATAGTGCTATAGAAGTTCACAATTAAATCAACTATGATAATTGATAATGTCTTCTTCATAAAAAAATGACACATCCTTTTAGAATTTGCTTCTTCACAATGTAGAAGCAATAAATAAGTTATACATATTAAGCATGATTTTATATCAAAATAAATCATCGTCTTAATACTTTTAGTTAAAATGACATTGAGTATAGTATCCAGTTTATCAATTTCAGAATTAATAGCCAATGGAGGATAAAAGTACGAGGACTCGATTTCGGATATAATAAGTAGAATGTCTTCTACGCTAGATTTAATTCGGATATCTACCAATAACATAAGAATATCTTTTAAGGGGAATAATTGCAGCCAAATTAATTCTAAAATATCCACTGAGCACTTCTCAATATTTATATCCGTTGTATTTGTTGCTTCATCAAAGAATTTAGGAAATTTAACATCATATTGACTAGAATCAATAATAAAAAAAACCACCAGATACACATGTTTCATGTATGTCCCAAATTATCAAAATATACCATATTTTACGGATCAAATGACAGTAATTCTCATCATTTCTGAAGTTAGAGACTAGAGTAGGCTCTCTATTGACTCCTAATGATATAGCCAATTGAATCATTGACGCTAGTGAGCTCTGAATAGTACTCGTCCGCTCCAACAGAGTTTTCAGGAGAATATCTATGGTAGAATTTGTACACCATTTGAAGCTGAAGAATTTCGATACTAGATTTCCTGCCTAAATTGAAATAGCTGAGGCATTTTTTAGCTAAAATTATATGTTTATAAGACTTTAATACGTCTTCTTCGTTTATCCACTGAGGTATTTCTTCATCAATAACACCCCTAAAACATTTTAAAGGTGAAATCTCATATTGAAAAGAAAATGATATTCTCATTAATATCAATAAAATGCCCATAATAGCAATATCAGTGTACTTTTCAATTTTTATTATCCATTTTGCACTATCTATTTCTTTATCTCTCTTAAGAATTCTCTCGACATCATTCTTGAATTGTAATTCATCAATATGGGTAATAAAGGATATATGCTTGTAAAAAATATATTTATTAAGTTCCAAGTAATTTCGTACAGAGGTAATGCATTACTAAGCTCTCTAGCAAACTCCGTAGATGGAAAATTTCTATGCCTGAAATTAAAATTGTGTTTATATAACTTTCTTCGCCTAGATGAATGATGTTTTTCAAATCTTTGGGTAGTTGACAACTTTGATTTTTTTCTACAAAGCTTCTCGAGTTTACTTCTTGCAACTCAAAAAAGTTACTTAACACGTATTGTTCAAGTGAGGATAATATCGGGTCTGATTTCATAAAGCTTACCCATGTAAAGGGCCCATAATTCATTTGCAGAGACTCCCTTACGTTAATAGAGGAGTATTTTTTATATATATTAAAGCTTGGAATGCTATGCACACTATTCTCATTTTTAGTATTATTTGCTAACCTTCGATTTGATAACTTATTTTTTTGATAAACCTTCTGAATTATGGTTTCATTCAGATTATGTTAATTTTTTTGAGATTCTTTTATTCTCTTATTCCTTGCAGGATCCTTTGATTCCTGGTATTCACATTTAACATCAGCATGTAGACATTCGCGACACGGTATCTCTCTATTGCATTTCTTCTTCCTTTTTCTACAAAAAGGCAGACCTTACTAGAACGATTCCTTGTTAATCGAGTCATTTTTGTTGGACTATACAAATTTACATTCAGCTGAAAACAGAACTGAATTTTATGAATTGTCTTTACTCCTCTTATTGCAATGAATTTCAAAACTTATATACAGGAGTACATATTAAAGTATTTGGTTTTCATATACTGTTCTATTTCAAACTACTAGTTCTAAGGAGTTTGTACTATTAAAGAACATTCAATAAGCCAAATTTTTAGTCTATGTTGATAAATTGTTATAAAGTATGTTCTCTGTAGAATTTCGTAAACTTTTTTTTCTTCAGCGTCCTGATTGAGAGAATCCAATTAAATGCGACAATACTCTTAAATGCGACACCTAACCCAACAAATGCTAAGAGAAGATTAAATTCATTAATCATCAATTTACATGAAGGGGGTATGACCTGTATACATAGTAGACGCATTATTCATCAATGCGACA